TCTTCAGGTCAAAAGATGTATAACTTATAAGCTCAACTCCTCGGGATAACAGGGGTTTGGGTAGCAACTGTTTCGTACTGAAAGAGCTCAGATATGCAGAATACTAACTAACCAGATAGCCTCATCATTAATGTCAGTCTTCATCACATCATCATCACAAACATCAATGTCCACTTCTTTGGTTAATGAACGTGGGGAGGAACCGTTTGCGATCCACTGCTTGATGGTCAGCAACAGACTATTGTCAGTAACCTTGAAAAATGAACAACACTTTGAGTGTTTATGTATTTGATGTATTTCAATATGAACGCATTCATTGTAGTGAATTATTTCAGTCTAGAATCTCCAGGCTTCAGAATGGATGCCAGAAGATTCAGGGATCCAAAAGCGACGATGAGAATGCGATCGCTTACTCTCTTCGAATTCCTGAAATTGTTGATAATGTGTTCATTAACAGACAGCATGGGATGCTCTATTGTTCAATAGCAAAGGTAAGATAGCAAAATGATAAAATAAAGCGAAGTTGGTTAAACCTGACTTTCGCGGCGGCCGGGTGACGAACTCCTTGTGGTTCGGGTTCACTCCCGGGGGTAGGCAGAAAAGCCACATTTCTCCCAGATTAATGGTACCTGTAATGGAATCAAGGCCGAAGGGGTGCGATATCTATAGTACCGAGCCAAAGGGTTTACAACTCATGGTTTCTGGATACGTAAAAAAAAAAAAAAATGAAGAACATCGTGTGCTACAAATCACTGTAATTAGAGGTTAGAAAAAGAATGCTCACATGTTATACAGAGCCAGCTTTAAATCTTTCAATACCAACCAAAGCACTGTGACAGACTGCATTTAATCACGTGTCCACTAGTCAGTATATTATTATGCTTGTACAATTGATGTTTTCAAACACAACAACACTCAAGTCTCCTAGGGTTGTGTGTTTAGCTCCTTTTGATGTAGCATACCCATGATTCTGTTGCTGTGATTGTTGCCTCACGTGAGCATTAACAATGACCTTTTGGGACTGACAGATTTAACTGGAGAATAATTAAACAACCCAAACAATTACTAGATCCCTCAGTGATGTGGTTTTACAGAAATAACTTAAACATTTATCGCAAAGCCCGAGTGAGTAGCCCAGGTAGTCCAAAGCTTGAATATAACTTATCACAAATATCAAAAAATGTGTTATGTGTTAAAGAGAGGAGTCGTCGTGGTGTAACGAGGGGGAATACTGGCTTGACGATCGGCATTTCGTGGGTTTAAATCCTGGCGTAAACATAGTTTTTTTTTTTTTTCAAAAAATTATCTTGGCTTCCCAGGGCGACCCAGCCTTTAGTAGGGTATTAGGTTCAGTTCTGGAAGTAAAGGCGGTCGGCGCTACGTTAAGCACATCACCCACCAAGTGCAGAATGGTCTAAAAAATATAGGTCTAACCCTATATTGCCAATATGCCTAAAGGCGTGTAAAATGATCTGGTACTTTTTTTTTGTTGTTTTTGCTTATGCACTGTTTGGAAAAGGAAACAATTATTGGAAAGATAAAAGCAGGAAGAAAACGCGATATTCTTTTGTAATGTCATGGAGTGATGCATGCTGTTGGAGATCACAGGTTGGGTAAATGTATGATGGCTGACGCCAGGGCATGATATTTCATGATGATGAAGATGGCACAGCATCTTGTAAGGGCTAGGATTTTTTCACGTAGACTTGGACTTCTAGTAATTCCCCCTGATCTCTGGGTAGTGAGATCAGACGCCCGTGTGCATTTTTGCTCACGTAAAAAGTAAAAAAATCTCTTGGCAGTTGGAAATCTAAAAGAGTAGCATAACGGCCCTGACCAGGCACAATTTAGAGCTAAAAATCTACCTAAAGTATTTCAGGATCCTCGCCGGTGCTACAGAGTTTGTGGACTGCGCTGAGCTTCTTCTGACTCAAACTGGAGTTAGAAAAAGAACGGAGCACTTAGATGTTACTACTATGTGCCATGATGTTGATCTGTCGTTCAAACCTCAAACGTTAAACTTTCACTGTAAACGGCCCTCTTCTATGCCTTCAAGGCGTACTGGGCATACAAAGCAAGACCTGTATTTTATAATCCAGACAGAACTCGGTGAGTGATGTGCTCAACATTACATCAGTCGTTTGTTTTTTTTTTTTTTTCGGGAAATTATCTGGTACCCATTTGAAGCTAGGTCGATCAAGGAACAAAGGTAATTTATGTTTTTTTTTTTTTTTTTTTTTGTATTCTTTTTTTTTTTTTTTTTTTGTAAGTGAGCTTAATACACAATCCACGGCACCGGCAGAGATAATATAAGATCATTTCTCTGAATTATGTAGGGTGGGTGGGCCTCAGTGTTCTCATTCCTAGTTTAAATGCTTATTATTATTTTTGGTAATAATCATAAGTTAAAACTCATTAATACGGATCCCAAAGTTCAGAAAAAACAAACAGAGTTCATGCTAAATAAATGAGTGTGCTAACTATAGAATACACTTCTTCCGCCTTCTATCCCTCAACGAGCTCACGCCAAATCGTTCTCATTCTTCTTATTCTCTTTCTTCTTCTTAAAATCCATGCCGTTTGGTGTCGGTGGTTGTGATTTTACACAACCTTCTGTCTCGTTTACTTTCAGTCAGCTCAGACATAGATGATCCTCCATGCTACTATGTCAAACGGTCCAGCATCTTTTCTCTCGGTCTCCCTCTGCCTCTTTTCCCCGCCTAATTTCGGCTATAACGATGTAATCCAGTTTTCTCCTTCTTATCACATCACCAAAAAATGTAGATTGTTTCTTTCTGACGTGGGCATCAGTTCTCTTCGAGAGTCAGTTTCCCTAAGGACGTCCTCATTACTCTTTTTTTATCTGTCCAGGGTATTCTCATCATTCGTCTTCAAAACCACATCTCCGTTCTATCCTTCGCTTTTGCATACAGCTTTCCCCATATCCTCATTATCTTTTTTTTTTAACTTTACTCAATAGTGTTTTTTGCTTTTTGTGTTTTCGGTCTGTCTTTATGTCTATGCCTTTGTGAGTTCCAGTGCAAATACATTCTAGTTACATATTTCACAGCTTTTTTCATTCGTGTAGTCTATCCAAAGTCAACGTCTTTTCTTAATCTCTTGGTCCACAGGGACTTGTTTAGTTTTCACCTAAAATTCAGCTTATGTGATTCTATCATCCTGTTTAATTCCTTCTATTCTGCTCAGGTACCAGATATTATTGTTTGAGTTGTTCTCCATGTTTCCGCACCAAACATCAACATTGTTAACGATGACACAGTAGACTATTATGAAAAAATGCGTCAATTCTAGGACAAACATTGTTTTCATGTTAACCACTCGTTCGTCTTATACCAGTTTGTGCTAACGAGGTTTTACTGCAATTAATAATACTCCGCCTAATGGCAAACAGATATAATAACACGCCTGAAATAGTATAAAAACTACAAACATTCTTTTAAAGACAAACTCTATACATCGTTGAAAGGGCTCTCTTAGCCTCACAATATAATTGTTGGGAGGATTTCCGCAGCCTTGTTTTAGTGCTTATAAGAATAACAATAAAAATACTTATTTAATAATACATTGATAACACAATTTAGTATTATATGTAATAATTACTACTACTCTTACTACTACTACTACTACTACTACTACTACTACTACTACTACTACTACTACTACTACTACTACTACTACTACTACTACTACTACTACTACTACTACTACTACTACTACTACTATTACTGTTGTTGCTACCTTGCTATTGCTGCTGTTGCTACTACTGCTACTACTACTGTTGCTGATGCTGCTACTACTATTACTGCTACTATTACTGCTACTATTACTACTACTTCTGCTGCTACTACTATTACCATTGCTGCTGATACTAATGCTGCTACTACTGCTGCTGCTGCAGCTGCAGGTACTACTACTACAATTACTACTACTGCTGCTGCTATTATTACTAGTACTACTGCTGCTGCTACTACTGCTATTATAACTACTGCTACTACAACTACTGCTGCTGCTACTACTACTACTGCTGCTACTACTTCTATTACTACTACTACTATAACTACTACTTCTACTGCTTCTGCTACTACTACTACTACTACTACTACTACTACTACTACTACTACTACTACTACTACTACTACTACTACTACTACTACTACTACTACTACTACTACTACTACTACTACTACTTCTACTACTACTACTACTACTACTACTACTACTACTACTACTACTACTTCTACTACTACTACTACTACTACTACTACTACTACTACTGCTACTAATACTACTATGTGCTGAATTGCAGCAACAAAACATATATTTGAAATAATATGAAATGTGAACATAAACATTCAACGTGAGAACGTCTATTCGTTGTTAACGGAAAAAAGAGGGTAGGGGGGAGGCGCTTTTGGAGCCCTTCTCCTCCCATTCAGCCACAGTACATAATTTCAAGGGAAAATATGGGTATGGGCAGTTCAAGAATAGTAATTATGACATGTTTCTAATCATATAAAGAAATACTTGAAAAGAATGTTTTAAAAATTATTAAAGAGTGACTATTGGCACTTTTTTAAATTATTAACGGGGTGACGGGTGGAGAGGTGGGGTGAGAGATGTCCCTTTCTCTCTCCACAATATTTAGTGGTGGTGAGTCCTCAAGTGGCATGAGCCACTAGTTGTCAGCATACTGACTACAGAATAGTTGATGTATGTCAATCACAATGTCCATCACAATTACCATCACAATGTCCATCACAATAACCATCACAATGTCAATCACAATTACCATCACAATGTCCATCACAATTACCATCACAATGTCAATCACAATTACCATCACAATGTCCATCACAATTACCATCACAATGTCCATCACAATAACCATCACAATGTCCATCACAATGTCCATCACAATAACCATCACAATGTCAATCACAATTACCATCACAATGTCCATCACAATGTCCATCGCAATGTCAATCACAATTACCATCACAATGTCCATCAAAATTACCATCACAATGTCCATCACAATGTCCATCACAATTACCATCACAATGTCCATCACAATGTCCATCACAATTACCATCCCATTGTCCATCACAATGTCCGTCACAATTACCATCACAATGTCCATCAAAATGTCCAAATACAGTGTCCACCACAATGTCCATCACAATGTCCATCGCAATGTCCATCACAATGTCCATCACAATTACCATCACAAAGTTCATCACAATGTCTGTCACAATGTCCATCACAATTACCATCACAATGTCCGTCACAATGCCCATCACAATGTCCATCACAATGTCCATCACAATGTCCATCACAATGTTCATCACAATGTCCATCACAATGTCCATCACAATGTCCATCACAATGTCAATCACAATGTCCATCACAATGTCCATCACAATTACCATCAAAATGTCCATCACAATGACCATCACAATTACCATCTCAATGTCCATCACAATTACCATCACAATGTCCATCACAATGTCCATCACAATGTGCATCACAATATCCATCACAATTACCATCACAATGTCTATCACAATGTCCGTCACAATGTCCAACACAATGTCCATCACAATGTCCATCACAATGTCCATCACAATGTCCATCACAATGTCCATCGCAATGTCCATCACAATGTCCATCACAATGTGCATCACAATGTCCATCACAATGTCCATCACAATGTGCATCACAATGTCCATCACAATGTCCATCACAATGTCCATCACAATGTCCATCACAATGTCCATCACAATTACCATCACAATGTCCATCACAATTACCATCACAATGTCCATAACAACGTCCATCACAATGTCCATCACAATTACCATCACAATGTCCATCACAATTACCATCACAATGTCCATCACAATTACCATCACAATGTCCATCACAATGTCCATCACAATGACCATCACAATTACCATCTCAATGTCCATCACAATTACCATCACAATGTCCATCACAATGTCCATCACAATGTGCATCACAATATCCATCACAATTACCATCACAATGTCTATCACAATGTCCATCACAATGTCCAACACAATGTCCATCATAATGTCTATCACAATGTCCATCACAATGTCCATCACAATTACCATCACAATGTCCATCACAATTACCATCACAATGTCTATCACAATTACCATCACAATGTTCATCACAATTACCATCACAATGTCCATCACAATTACCATCACAATGTCCATCACAATGTCCATCACAATGTCCATCACAATGTCCATCACAGTGACCACTTTGAAAATACATACAGATTATCCATTTATTAGGTAGGCTGTTCCTTCTGGAAACGAGTGTTCAAAGTGCTAGACGGTGCATATTCTGGAAAGCTTCACGTCTTCGACATAAAGGGCACAGATGTCCATTCCAGGTCTGTATCAGCGAGTCCTTAAGTACTCATTATTACATTCTGACACTGAAGTATACATCGACTGAGTGCGCATATTTATCGATTGTTCTGGGGCTAATTGTGTGTTCACCAGTTTTTGAAATGAGACAGTGAGGGACATTTCAACTGAATGTCCCTGTCTCATGAACTGGGCAAGTATGGAGAAAGCCGGTTGCGGTGAATGTTGAAACTTCGACCAAGACTAAGACACACCATTAGATTAAATAATCCAGATATGGTATCAGGACATTATGGTTCAATGCTCCAACAGTTTAATACAAAGCTAAATGACCTTCTTTTTTTACACTAGTGCCGCATTGGACGTATCATGCTAGTCCCATATTTTTAAAGACCAATCAGAACTCGACGGCTGATATGACCACCATCACATAGGTCGCTTTTACTCAGTAACCATTTCAGGCTAGGACAACTTGATAGCTAACTTTTTTAAAGAAAACAAAAGGAATCTGACTCGATGGAGATTTCTACCCTAAGATCCTCAGGCCAGTAGGCCAAGGTCTTGCCGCTATTTTACCTTCTACGAATTATTTGTTTAGAAAGACAGCAAATCAAATTGTTTGCCCACTTGGAGAGAATGCCTTTTAATACTATACAATTCAATGTATTTACCAAAAGAGGAGAGGGACGAAAAACAAGAGGTAGTGCAAGAACAAGATGGAAGGATAACATTAGAGAAACTCTACAGTACCACGATGTGTCTTTGGTAGAAGCAGCCAGAAAATAACGAAGCAGGACCTTGTGTCTCCCTCGACACCCGAAGCGGCAAAAGAGGACGTAAAGAAGAAGAGGAAGAAAAGATACTTTTTGATACCATCATTAACGACCCAGCCTTCCCTGTTGATCTAGTGTAGTGAGAGGTCACTGAGAAAGGAAAGAAAAAGAAATGCAATTACTGCCTGTAATTAACACTTCCAGAAATGTAGACAGGGGATCTTTGAGCCAGAAAATTACGGGCCGTCATGGACTTTGGAGGTTATGATTTAAGTGTTGCCCCCTGAGAGATCAAACCAGAAGCTTCGACTCCTTTAGCAAGCAAGCAATACTGAGGTGACGGTCTCGAGACATGGCTTCCGCCTCAAGTGCTGGAGGTTTCGGGTTCAAGCCTAGGTAAAGGTTGCGATTTTTTTACGTGAACTTCTAGTAATTTTCCCTGGTCTCAGGGTAGAAAGATCGGATGCCCATGTGTATTGTTGCGTACGTTTAAAAAAATCCCTTGTCAGTTGGAAATCGAAAAAGAGCAGCCTAACGGCGCTGCCCGGGCAGATTTGGAGTTTAAAATCTACCTAAAGTATTTCAGGACCCTCGCTGATGCTACCGAGTTCATGCACTGCGCTGAGTTCGTTAGAGTCAGACTTGAGTTAGAAGCAGAACGAAGCACTTATGGGTTACACCCGTGTACCATGATACTTATCCGTTGAATAAACATAAACATTAAACATTCCTGTATTTAAAAAAAAAAAAAAACATCTATGGATATTTTACCTAAAAATAAAAAGAATCATCGCTGGATCTACAAACTCCATGACCTGTTCTTGATATCATGAGCAAGTGAAAATAAGAGAAGCGGAGGAGAGAAGACGACGAAATGGAGAGAGAAGACGGCATAGACATAGGAGAACATGAACCCAGAGAGTGAGATGGAAAACGGAGAGTCTCGGATACAAGCATGTTAGAGTGGGTTACTGGAATAGTGTCGATCAGAGATGACATGTGAAGGTGGCTTAGGAGTTGTGCTGGATTGATTCAAGAACCGACATCACAGCACTCGGGGCATTCCCACAAGCGCTTCCTTCCCATCTTCAGCATCCAGCGCAGAGCTTCTATACTAATGGTGCCAGTAGCAGTCTGATTATACGTCCGTCTCGCCTTTCCTCTGATCATCGAATATCGACCAGATACCCATGTCACTTCTGGCTGCATCACTCTCACCAGACTCTGGAGATCCATTTGTGTCTCCAAACTTTACACGTTCTACATAAGGCCTTGACCACGTCTGCCTTTTGATGCATCAGCATTCACTAAAGTTGTGTAGAGCCAGCCAGCCTGTCCGCCTGTTCATTTCTCAACACACCAAGCATTTTTAGAAAGGATAGAGCTTCTACCAAGAGGTCGGGACGGTTACTGGCCAGGGAAAGATACTCGGTCAAATGCAGCCACTTTTGCTTTTAAAGTTTAAGGGAGGGTTTCAAAATAGGTTGGAGATGGTAGTGGCAAAATGATCTTGAGGATGCCAACAATAGGGTCTGATATGATATACTGATGTCTGCTCTTATTGAGAAGGGGATCTGAACCTTGTTGGTGAACTGGATAGCAGTCCTACATTAAATAACGAATGCCCACCCCCTCTGGATACATAAAATTCAGAAGCATGCAATATCTCCCGGAGAATACCACGAATTTTTGCGATCTCGCTACTTTACTGTAACTCGGTGTGTATACACTCAAGACTTCAGAACTAGAAGCTCCAGATGTTGGAAGGATATTCAAATTTGCAGGTGCTGTTCTTGCATATATGCCTGGGAGCTACAGACAGCTCTATAGCTACAGAAAACTGTAGACCTGTAAACCAAGTGACAGGTGTAGAGAATTGGGTACTGTAATCAAACCAGAACAGTTTTTTTTTTTAATGGTACACTCTGGACAATAGAATTATCATAGCTGATGTTCCATGGTCAGCTCTGTGGCTAAGTCCATGCGAACGCTTCGTAATGCCGCGATGCCGGGTTCGATCCCAGCTTAGGGCCACGCGCCTTGAGTTGGTTTCGAAGTGGTATCAAGAAAGCCGACCGTCCAGGAAGCATCACACTGGACGTAAATTTGCCTACAGAAACCACACAACAGTCAGGTTCTGTTAGGGTTGGTTCTGCAATGTCCTGTAAAGGATACGCAGCTAACCTTTTTAATATGTTCCAAGCCTCAAAATTAATGATAGAAGCATCAAAAGAGAACGCAGACCTAGGTACCTGGGTATCACTTTCGATAGAAACCTGTGCTTCGGGATCATGTAAAGGTTGTTGCGTCAAAACCTCAAACAGAACTCAATGCACACACGATTATGGCAGCAATAGAACAAAGAATGCTGTTCACAATGTCTGAGCATGTGATCCTCTCTGTGGCGGATTATGGATTCTGAACGCTTTCGGTTTTTAGGAATCAGCTGATAAACTTAAAAACGCATGCATAATAAAGCCAAAAATGATATTCTGGGATTTACAAGAGATGTCGCAGTAGAATGTAGCGCAGTATATACTTGCACTGCCAACTATTATTTTTGCAAAGTTATATCTCAGAGTAGCTGGCGGCACAAAGCAACTCTTGCATAAAGCTCTGGACATATTCAAGGATCACCGACTTAAAAGAAGAAGTAAGTAGGGCAAGCTGAAGACATACTTAGACTTATATGCATGCTTGGGAAAATTTGGAGAGGAGAGCAATGGACCAAAGTGTCCCAGCAACAATCAAATTTGTTTAGGATTCATATCAAAGTAGTTCGTAAATGTGGGAGTGGCCAGCGTGTAAAGCAGAATCAGAAGTACAACACCTGATTGATGACTATTCTCGCCCAGGTGATATGATTATATATACTGATAGCTCAGTGTTGAAGGGCAGACGGAGTACATCGGAGCTCATACCAAAAGCGAATGGACTCGCTTAGTGCAACAAAGCCTGACATGTGATATGCCAGCATCTAGTTTGAGAATCGAGGTAGAGACGGTCACTACAGCCCACCGCTGGCCTGAGAACTAACTGCAAACCCAGTTCGTTGAGCAAAATGGAGACAGGTATGCGCCGCGAAGAGTGACGCTTATCGGTTCAGAGGCCTCAGATAAAAAGCTGCCTTGTATATTTTCACCAGGTCATATCGATGTACTGGGAAATTAGAGACAGTCTGTATGACATTTAAATTAATGCCGAGAAAAGCATGATTCGAGTAAACACAATAATCAGGTACCTACCAACATTCAGACAAAAGGGGAAAACACTTAAAGAAGTTGAAACATTTATATGTCCTGGCTCCCACATATGCAACGATAACAGCTGTACCAAAGAGATAAAGACAAGACAATATGGCAATAGCCGCGATGTCGCAGCTGAATACAATGTGGAAGAGCAAAATCAGCAGCTCAGTCAAGGTCAATAGTTACAAATCACTGGTGTTGTCTATTTTCTTGTACGGATGTGAGAGCTGGACTCTCACTGTGGAAATGGAGAGGAGGATTCAGAGACAAAATATACAAATTTGCGGAAGTTCAGGAGCCTCTTTTGGCAGTGGTGAAACGTCGTCACAAGTTAGCTTGGTTTGGGCATATAGTGAGAAATGATTCGATTGCAACGACTGTACTTCAAGGAACATTTGGAGGTAGTCGAAGAAGAGGAGGGCAAAGAGGTCTTTGGAATGACAACATCAAGAAATAGACAGGACTAAGTTATCATACACTCATTCCTCAAACGGAAGACAGAGAAAGATGGCAGGTTTTATATGTTAGTGTTTCCATCAATACACCTCCACGACTCTAATGGGCCAAGGGTTATGTTAGGTTATGTTATGTTATTGGGAAATTAAAAGACAGTTAGTCTCGATGTTTCTGCATTACTTGGTGGTCAATAATGCCTCAGAAGCTAGATGTTGTAATGGGCCATTTGGGAGCGAATAAACAGTGTGGAGGCAAAAACGGATCATCACTGAAAACAGAGATAGTTGCTTGTCCTCGTTTAAGGCCTATTTGTTACAGGCGATTCCTCTTCCTTGACCATGATAATTCGTTGTCATGTAAAAAAACGGAAAGACAATAAAGCCTGTGGGAGACACAGAGAGAAAGATTAATTTGCCACCAGGGCCCGGATAAACATTTGTATTTGAAACAAATGACAGAATCCAAACCAGAAGGCTTTGAATAGACGTCCAACGCCTCACAGTGTGGAGTATGAGAACATATGCTGCAAATGTGTATGTGATACATGCATTAAACAGTTAAACAATTAAATCCGTCTCCCCCTCCACGTTTTTCAGAAAGGCATTCTGTAGGATTGCAGCCTCGTGGATGAGAATCAAGCAAATGCTAGAAAACCCCGTTCAACTCTATATCTGTTAAATTAGGGCACCTACGGTTAACAAGGCAACTTGTAGTCCATTGCAGATGGGGCTAGTGCATCATCATCATCATCGTCATCATCAGTATCAGGATCATCATCATCATCATCACATGTAAATTCCCGATGTGCTCAGATTTTCATGGTTAGCATCTAAAAAAAAATCACTGTAATCACTGATTAGGTCAGTGTCCTGCCCCCCCCCCCCACCCCACCCCCTCAACCAGCTATGCAAGCCATGTGAATGTCTTTGTCTTTCCCTTTCTCCTTTCCCCATCGGTTTTTACATTTTGCCATTTGAGTTTTCCAGTTTACTCGTTCTTATAATTGTAGCTAAGGAAATGAATGAAAACAGTAGCAGACTACTCTCTTCAAAGACACCAAGATTAATATTGGTTCGACCTTAGTGCACTGAAAGAATAACAGTAAGAATTATATAATATCACCTTGTTTGTAGTTTAACTTATAAAGACCCAACTGGATGAAGCAATGCAGTATTTCAGTAATCTTTATTATTTTATTTTTATTTATTTTTATCATTTAAGTATTCCAGATTCAATGACGTTAAAAAATACTACACCTGAGGCATTCAAGTCAATGCTGGAAACTTACATGAAATTTATATTTGTACGGGATCCATTTGAGAGACTCTTCTCTGCCTATGTGGACAAAATCTTGATCCCAACAATATTAAAGACACGGGTTGTAAAGTTCTTCATGGATGAGTAAGTTGAATCTCTTACTGATTTTTTTTATATAGAAGATTCCGTAAGATTTTGAATGCGAGAGCCTCGTGAAATTGATCTTACTACACAATAACTAAAGTAATCATGTTGAATGAAGAAATAAATTAAAGAATTATCAAATAAATATTTTAATTTGTCCAACAGTAGTTAGCCTGGAGAATACTGTGATGGAGGCTACAATTATCGGAAAACGAGGCAGTGACTGACCTCCATCAAGGTTGATACAGCACCTGAAGATCTAACGGCTATAAAAGCACATTGGTCTGAAGAATTTGTTAGAGAAAGACAGACTAGCGTGTCGTGACAAGAGCGTTCGGCGAGCCGTAACAAGAACGTTTAGCGTGCCGTGACAAGAACATTTGGCGAGCTGTAACAAGAACGTTTAGCGTGCCGTGACAAGAACATTTGGCGAGCTGTAACAAGAACGTTTAGCGTGCCGTGACAAGAACAATGGAGAACCGTAACAAGAACGTTTAACGTGTCGCGACAAGAACATTTGGCGAGCCGTGACGAGAACGTTTAACGTGCCGTGACGAGAACGTTTAACATGCCATGAGAAAACATGTGACGCTCCGTATCAGAGCGACGTTCTGTAAAGGACTGCTGATTGCGGTTGTTAATGCATTGATGAAAAAAAAATGGTGCACCATGGTTTGCGATGCTCTTAACTAGTTCTCCGAGTGATTTAATTAATTTCAAGATATATTTATCTGTACTTGATATTCTCATTATCTTTTATGAAATCAAATCTCTGCAGTTCATAAAGAGTATATCATTATCATATGACGTCTCAGTAAATTTTCCCTTTCTTCTTCTTCTTCTTCTTCTTCTTCTTCTTCTTCTTCTTCTTCTTCTTCTTCTTCTTCTTCTTCTTCTTCTTCTTCTTCTTCTTCTTCTTTCTTCTTCTTCTTCTTCTTCTTCTTCTTCTTCTTCTTCTCCTTCTCTTCTTTCTTCTTCTTCTTCTTCTTCTTCTTCTTCTTCTTCTTCTTCTTCTTCTTCTTCTTCTTCTTCTTCTTCTTCTTCTTCTTCTTCTTCTTCTTCTTCTTCTTCTTCTTCTTCTTCTTCTTCTTCTTCTTCTTCTTCAAACCTTCTGTCAGAAAACATATCAGGAAGGCGGGTAATACAAACGTTAGTCTCCCCATTCACAGTGTTACCCACTAGCTCACTTCTTTTTGGTCTAGCTTCAGCCTAGCTCAATTCGCCTGCTGTAACCTCCTAGGGACAGTTTCGGTCGTTTGTCCACCTTCAGTTTCTTCTTCACGTTCGCGGGCTGTAAACTCCTGGGTGAAAGTTCTGGTGGTTTGTCAACCTTCTGACTTTAGTCTTTTTTTTTGGGGGCGGGGATGGGGGGGGGGGGCCTGAGTGGTTGCGCACATCCGTTCAACAGATCCGGTTTATCTGTAAGCAAACTACTGGTTCCTTGCCTCTCGGTCAGATGCATTGTGACCTCAAAGGATTGCCAACAACCCCACCCCCGCCAGTTAGACGACTCCTACGAAGTGCTTGTTGGGGAGGCAGTGAGTCTTGTTTTCTCTACAATAAGAGCCTGGAACCCACACAAGGAGTTTCTGGTATCCAAGGACACTTGTAATTTTATTTTCAAAAACAGACGAGCCAGCGTTAGAAGGCAGTACTTTATTATCATGACATTATTTATAAATTTAAATACCATCTTTAGTGCGACTAAAACTTGGAAAATAACAGGCGTTTACTAATCTTAGTTAACTGGAAACCGCTGGTCTAGATTGGTGTTTGTTTGTTTTAGTATCCAGAAGCCATGACTTGTTAACCCTTAGGCTCGGTATTATTCCTTTTTAAGTACCGTAAATCTGGGAGAAATGTGGCTTTTCTGCCCACCCCCGGGAGTGAACCCGGACCACAAGGAGCTCGTCACCCGCTTACTGTGCAATCCGGTTTAGCCAACTACGCTAGAGAGACGGGCGTCTAGATTGTTAAAAGGGCCATTCTTTCATGTCTTCGGGTGTATTTGGCAAACATGGCTAGACCATTATTTTATAGACCGTTACTTCCTATGTATTTTACCTGGTACCAATTTAAGGCTGAGTCCTCTTGGGAGACAACGGTTGTTAATGTTTTTTGAAGTCTAGCTCTGCCAGAACCTGAATCCACGACCTTCCGGGCATCAGAAGAGTGACTTTTACCATTATAATGTTTATAAATTTCAATAGGTTCTTCAGTGTGACAATTACAAAGTATGTGATTCGTGGCTGACCTTCGAATATAACAGGCGTCTAATATTAGTTAAAAACAACTAGTCTGCACTAACGCACATATTAAGCCACAATCTAAGGTAGTGAGCTAAGCGTCTGAGAGTGTGTGTATATATAAATATATAGATATATAATCACACACATATCAAGTCCTTTACAGAACATCACTCTTCCTACAGCAAGCATGAAAGTATCCCTTTCCCTAGCCGGCTGTCCAGCCTAATGTGCTTTCACTGCCATTGCATCTTCAATGTCCTGTATCCATCTTCACGGAGATCGATTCCTGACTTGCTTTCCAAAAACCGCACCCTCCATCACCCTTTTTTTCTAAGCCACGATGATGTTTGATGTGGCTAGAATGCTTTAACTTGTGGGACATGATGCTGTTTGTGAGCCAGTTCTCCTTGATGTTTAACTCGTGTAGAATGTCGATGTTTTTCCTCTTCTTGGTCTATGCTATTTTGAGAACCTTTCTGTAAATTTCAATTCAAAAGCTGCAATCTTTTTTACTTCCGTGATTTAATGAGAGTTTAGGACTCACAACAGCAAGTAGCCACAGGACAAATGCATGCTCTCAACATTTTTACTTTAACTAATTTTAAGGTGCTTTGCTATAGTTTCTTTGTGCTGTTTAATCTTTAAATCGCTGAAGCCTCTGAGAATAAGCACGCTAAATACATGGCATGGTCAAAACGCCCCCAGAGTAGCATACTAAAATTTTAGAAGAATTTACATAATGCAGGTCGGGTCTTGCTATGGCCATGGTCTGTAATTATCATGCCTTTCTATAGCAAACTATAAAACTATCGTCTGGAAAGACGGAAAGATTTCAACAAGAATAAACTGCAATCACCACAGCTCAATTTGCAGCTTGACTTCCTCTAACAGAAACCTGGTGGCTAAAGAAAGTCTGCCTTGCAATCAGAAAATTTCATTCGGAGACTTCAGTTCCTTGTTGGCTGACGCAATCATGCAGAAGAACTTTTTCGACTGGCATTTTTCAACCATGTCGTCACAATGCCACCCGTGTCAGTTCAACTTTTCAATGGTTGGCAAGATGGAGACTTTCATGGCAGATGTCAGGTTGGTAGAAGCTCAAGAAGGAAGCAGTGTTTAATAATTCATTATCAAATAACACACTGTTATTATTATTATTATTATTAATATTATTATTATTAAAACGGTCTTTCGTAATTAGTCACCCCAGATGATGTCTTGGGGACAGTCCAATATTTTATAGGGTGTTAAGACCGGGTTTCCCCGGCATTGTAGTGCTTTTAACTACTCCGAAACACCTACAACTGGACCTAAACCTAACCCACCAACGTCTCATGAAAGAGTGCAGCCTAGGTCCCACGACTGCATGCAACCTATCTACCACCCCCTGGAATATCGGACTGTCTGTTTAGAGTGGGGGGAAAAACGAAAGCATCTAAAACTATTTTTTTTTTGTTCCACCCCCCCCCCCTCTCACCCCACCTCCTCCCATCCACCCTGCCCCCTTGAATATACTTTTATTAACTTTTTTGTCTTACTTATTTGTTATTTAAACTCACATCGTGCTAATTTATTACTTGAGTTGTACGATTCATTACGGTTAGTTTAATTTTAATAACAGCGGCAGCTTTTATTAATTTAAAGTAACAACGGATTCAGATCAAATCTTTTTACCAACTCATTCTTATGTAGCAGGTCCTTGTCAGAATGCTGCTCTCATCGCGGTCTGCCTGAAAGAAACTCGGTCTCTCGCCAGCTCTCCGACTTTGTGCATTTTCATACCCAGGGGTCATTTATATCCTGTGCACATCTTCGTGCAGGTCGGACCCTGCACCTCTTTGCTGGTACCCTGCCTCCTGCTATCTTTTTTCCAGCTCTCCGTGGCGCTTGATTTGGCCAAAATAACTGTTGGGAATAATAACAAAGACGCCAACTAGATATGTGTTTTCATAACCAGGTGAAACTTGGGCAATGAGCAGAAACCTGAAAAATATTTACTTTTCCTATGCTACCAGAACCAGACATGGTCACTCACAACAAAGCATAACAGAAAATAGTAGCCGTGGAAATGAGGTGTCTGAAGAAAAACTGTAGGAATGGCCAGAAGAGATAAAATCAGGAACGAGGCAATTCGGCACACAGTCAATTCTAGTTTACATACAGAGACAGCAAATCAAATTGTTTGCCCACTTGGAGAGAATGCTTTCTGATGCTATACCATACAAGGCAGATACCGATAGAGGAGAGCGACGTAGAGCAAGAGTTAGACCTGGAACAATATGTGAAGATAACATCAGAGAAACTCTGCAGTACCATGATGTGTCTATGGCTGAGGCAACCAGAAGAGCACAAAGCAGGACCTTATATCTTCCTCGACAACCGAAGCGGTAAAAGGGGAAGTAGAGAAGAAGAGGAAGAAGTTGTGGAGATATGGTTTTTTTAGAAAAATGTACAGATTCTAATGGGATGCTAAAAAACATAAGAGACAGTCCTCGTCGAGTAGAAGGTCTTTTGGAGAACGTCGATTTCATCACGGTCTATCTAAAGACATTATCTATATCCACGGGGATTGAGTGGTCTCGGGGCATGGCATCCGCCTCGAGTGCTGGAGGTCCCGGGTTCAAGCCCAGGTGAAAGCTGGGATTTTTCACGTGGACTTCTAGTAATTTCCTCTGGTCTCTGGACAGTAAGATCGGACGCCGGTTTGTATTGTTGCGCACGTAAAAAAAACTATTAAGTGGAAACACAGGAGATATTCTTGACTATTTGAGACATCATGTGTGTCCTAACTTCCTATGTGTCTTTCTCTCTTGTCAGTCACTTGAGATTTTCCAAAATGTTATGAATCTATTACATAATGCATTGTTATCTTGAAAACAACGTTGTTGGTGTCTGGTATTTTACATTTCACTTTATTCAGATTTTTGTGTATAGTGTTATTTAATCAGATTTCTAGTATACTGTGTTTTAACTATGATAGTGGTTCTATCTAGTCTGGGGGAAATCAAGTGGTGAGGAAGTCTGGCCAAGCTATGCCCAGGAATATCTATGGAAATTCTGTGGGCCAATAACATGAGCTACCTCATCCCCGGAAAGGTGTGTTAATGGTTTTTGAAACTGCGGAGTACTGCCTAGACCAATGCGAACCGACAACATACCATTGTTTTGAACTTTGGTTTTGTTCCAGACAAAAATTTTGAGTGTATATCCGGTTTACAGTTCTAGCGTATTTTATGCAGATTGTTGATAACTCCGACTTCTAAGAAAACATCCCTAATTAATTCACTTTTTACATTTCAAAGGACAGTAGGCATATTCTCCCCCTCCCAACTGCTCCCTCACACACCCCACTCTCCAACAGGACTCGGGAACCCACTCTATGATTTTCTGTTACCAAAACTATATATTTTCAAACCTGCCTAACTTTTTAAAAGTGACATTATTCTGTAAACAGTATATATAATTTGTATGTACTCATATGTCATTTCTAGGGAGGTCTTTGGCAGGGCACACATAGACATGTCTGAGGTAGTTGGTGATGTCGAGGACATTGATTCCATTAATGATCATGCCAGTATCAAGGATGTTATAGAAAGAGTGTGGCGCTATCACTCATCAAGGTAATATATGTTTCAATACCAGGAGTAGTCGTCGTCTTCTCCTTCTTCTTTTGCGCGTGCGCCGGCTGTTAACTCTCGCATGAAAGTTCTGGTCGTTCGTCCATTTCTGGACTCTAGTCCTGTTCCAGAAACTAAGTGTTGCGTATACATCCTTTTCACAGGTCTGAGTTATTTTCATGCAGACTGTTGGTTGCTTGCCTCTAAGGCAGATGTACTCTGACTTCGAAGGAAGCTCCCAATTAATTGACTCTTACGACATGCTTTTGCGCAGGCTGTGGGTCTTTTCTTGTTTTCCCAACAATGGGGCCCCGGAACCCACACGGGGAAGGAGTAGTAGTAACTGGGCATGTGTGGTTTTACAGAAGAATGATGAGAACGCTACTGGCAGTTCAAAACTTGTAGTGAGTAATTTGTGTGTGTGTGTCTCATTTTTATAGACTATACTAAACGGGTGGTCCAAAGAGTCATGTATTAGCGAACAGAGAGTCGAGTTGAAGTGAAGATGAACTTTATGAGGCAAGCACAGATTTTGTATAGGTGGGCCACGGCCAGCTCCAGATTTATACAGCCGGACGTGGGTGGGCAAAGGTCGGGAGAAAACGGACAGTGCGAGTTATGTGTGGGAACATTCTAGAACGAAAAGAAGAGGCTATTTAAGCCATGAAAAACTGAGTTATTTGGGTCTTGTTTCTATCTAGTCTTGTTGAATTGAGAGCGTGATTGCTTTAACTTCTCAGTTTTGAGAAACCTGGCTTATGAATCCATGACGTCACGGAATGAAAGAATACAAGCAATCTACTACTGTGTAGTTTTCTGATGTTGTTTGTGAGTTTTCGACGTGCTTGCATGAGCTGAAGTGTCAGTGATTATTCTTACAATTGTCTTAAGTACTCGGATGCGTGCCAATATGGCTAGAACTTTAGACATCCGTTCATCTGACATTGTCAGAAGTGTTGTCATCTTTTTGGTGCTTTCCTCAACGTGTGTTCCAGTTTGCTGTTTTACAGTCTAAAATATATGTAACATAAAAGTAAATAAATACCAATAAAACTGAAATAATGCACGTCGGTATAATTCCTCGCCCGCTTCATAGATGGTTGAATGGGATTGGTCTGAAGCAAGTTAAAAGCAGAGACGAGAGGATAGATCAGGAAAAAAGAACAAGGTGCCAATTATTGAGCGCACTTATATAAAACTAAAGCCGTTATTAAAGACATTGAAGCATAAGTGTGGACGCCAAAAACATTATGAACAGCATATTCATATTAACAAGTTTGAGGTTTGAGGTATGAACAACTGATCAACAGCATAGCACACGTGTAGTAACCCATAAGGGTTCCGTTCTTCATCCAACTTAAGTCTGAGTCTGAAAAAGCTCAACACAGCGCACAGGCTCTGTAGCATCGTTTAGGATCCTGAAATATTTTGGGTATATTTTTAATTCCAAATGGTCAGCGCCGTTAGGCAACTCATTTCGATTTCCAGCTGCCATGGAGATTTTTTTACGTGCGCATCAAAACACACGGGCTTCCGATCTCACTACCCATAGACAAAGGAGTATTACTAAAAGTCCAAGTCCACGTGAAAAAATCCCACCCCTTCCAGGGGATTGAACCCGAAACTTCTAGCACTCGAGGCAGACACCCCCCCCCCCCCACCTCCCAATTCATAGCAACACTGGGCAATCAGAGCAACTAATGATGCAATGATTTGCTAACTATTTCTCCCCAACGGCGCTTGAGAGAGAAAAAAAAATGAGGATGACGAGGAAAACAATGGCTAACCTATAAGAGAATAGCATAAGGGACATAGTGGTCTCGTGGTATGAGGTCCCGGGTTCAAGCCCCGGTGAAGGCTAGGAATTTTTCACACGGACTTCTAGTAATTTTCCCCTGGTCTCTGGACAGTAAGGTCGGACGCCTGTGTGTATGCTTGCGCCCTAAAGAAAATTCTTAGTAGTTGGCTATCGAAACGAGTAGCCACACATCACTGCCGAGGAACAATCTGCAGTTACAAATCTACCCAAAGTATTTCAGGATCCTCACCGGTGCAACTGACTTCCTGCAGTGCGATGAGATTCTTCATACTCCGGCTTGAGTCAGAAGTAGAAAGGATCACTTATGGGTTACACGTGTGCTGTGACGTTGATTCTTTGATATAAACATAAACAGACAAACACAATAACAGAATAGCATAACTTTTATTTTCTGAGAACGTCGTGAGAAGAGGAAAATTGGAGTACGTTATGACAACGGAATATTTGCAAATGGAAAAGGACAACGAGGCACAAGGAGATTAACAGAACCATTCTAATAAACGCATTAGCTTGTTTCAAAATATATATCTGCCCTAATATTTCCAATGTCTCAAAATTACTTTACTATTTATTCAGGCTTACACATAATGCAAACTTTCTGTTTCTATATGGTTTTTCTTCAGCTCTAGCGACTGCTTGACACAAACAGAAACGGCAGAAATGCTATGGCGACATCTTCAAATAAGAGGATTCATCTCTAAAACGATCTCACTTCCTCCCAATCAAAGTAAAAATGGTGTGCTTTCACTGGAAAACTTCAAATCAGCTGCCATTCGAGCATACGAGCAATCCGAACCCAGACACATTAGAATGCGGCAGCGAGAAGAAGCCATGATGGAAGCCTACAGTCTTGTCCCGAGGGAGACCCTGGAGAAACTGTCCCAGCTCTACGCAGAGGACTGTTTATTGTTTGATTACTCGTGTGATATCGATAGGTTTCTCAGTCACAAAATGCAGCCGTTTTATTTTATTGGTGTCTGAATAACATTTAATTCTGCAAATCCTTTTCGTCTGTCCATTAATTGAAGAAGAAAATATTACGTTCATCCTGCTGCGAGAAATATCGACTATAATTGAGATCAGGTATCTTTGTGCCAAATTGTTTGCCAAAAAAATGTAGATTGCACCAAAACGAGGGGCTTGGACTGGTACTTTGGTACCTGGTGATGGTTGTTGGGGAGGAGGCTGGTGTGCATCATATATTTTATTTTATGAGTTTCTTCTAATACATATTTCGTTTAATTATTCACCTCCTTTCGTCTATCCAAGGACAAGCGACCACATTCAACCTACTGCCAGCAGTATCAGCTACAACTGTGTTCTGGTTTCATTGTGCCAGACATGTTGGTTGGTCAGTCAGTCAGTCAGTCAGTCAGTCAGTCAGTCAGTCAGTCAGTCAGTCAGTCAGTCAGTCAGTCAGTCAGTAGAATGTCCTTTGCAGAACCTTGCTCTTATATAACCCTCCAGAAAACTTCTCGATCACAAGCAAGATGTCCCGCGTCCGATACACCCATTTGGAGATCCTCTGCCATATCCTGCACCCATCTACTCTTCCTCTCTTCCCAGACACATTTTTGTTCTCAGCGGCGTCCGTGGCTTAAGCGTTGCGAGTCTGACTCATCATTCCAACGTACCGCGATCGAAACCCACTGCTGGCTGCGTGGATTTTTATCATTGTATGGGCGTCGTAGGTCGACCCAGCTTAAAATGGGTACCTGTAAGGCTGTACTGGGGAAGTAAAGACGGCCGGTGTAATGCTCACCACATTACCCACCTAGTGCCGAAGGCCTGTAAAAATATGGGCTCTTTTCCCATATACCCGATACGCCTAAAAGCATAAAAAGGTATTTTTACTCTCCTGTGTTATTTTTTTATTTTTATTATTGTTCTCTCTAAACTTTGGTGACGTTTCAAGTGACCAAAATATTTTGTGTGTGTGTGTGTGTGTTTTGTTTTATAATCTTTAATAGCCACCCTTCTTCAATATTCAGTTCTTAAAGTATGGATGCATTTGTTCTTTACTTTAACCATGATATTCTTAGAATCCGTATATTCAAGGGCATTTACAAGGTATTCAACTTTTTTAGTAAGTGTCAAAGTCTCACAGGCGTATGTTGCAAAGGGAAAGATGCATGCTCTTAGAAATTTAATTTTTGTAGATCTGTCTGTCCCACTCCAAAATGTATTCAGTTGTTTTAGTCTTTGAAGAGAAATCTATAGTCGTCGTTTAATGTCTTTCATTGCGTCACTATTATTGGTAGTCAATGACCCAAGATATTCAACATTTTCCACAACCTCCTCATTAACATATATTTGTTTCTGCATAGTAGTTTTATCTGTTTGCATGATCTTTGTCTTTTGCTATGTTAAGATATAAATAAAAGGTTGTGATTGTCACTATTTCTTTGGGTTGAGGTTATTACATTTTCTGTACCAGTATGTTGGTTAAGAAGTGTTTAAGTCCATCAAAACGAGTCGCCTAGACTGTTACTCTAGTGCCTGGTAATGGCTTTTGTGAAGGGAGCTGGTATGCACCATATATATATATATATATTTATATATATATATATATATATATATATATATATATATATATATTTATATCTATACACACATATACACTCACCCACTTACCCACGCACTCACACACACATATATACATACATACACACACGTGTGCACGCCCACGTGAAAATGCATGTCTATGTGTTTGCATACACACATACACAAACATATATATAACATACATAAGACATACATACATACATACATACATACACATACATACATACATACATACATACATACATACATACATACATACTACATACATACATACATACATACATACATACATACATACATACATACATACATACATACATACATACATACATACATACATACATACATACATACATACATACATACATACATACATACATACATACATACATACATACATACATACATACATACATACATACATACATACATACATACATACATACATACATACATACATACATACATACATACATCATACATACATACATACATACATACATACATACATACATACATACATACATACATACATACATACATACATACATACATACATACATACATACATACATACATACATACATACATACATACATACATACATACATACATACATACATACATACATACATACATACATACATACATACATACATACATACATACATACATACATACATACATACATACATACATACATACATACATACATACATACATACATACATACATACATACATACATACATACATACATACATACATACATACATACATACATACATACATACATACATACATACATACATACATACATACATACATACATACATACATACATACATACATACATACATACATACATACATACATACATACATACATACATACATACATACATTACATACATACAT